AGAAATGGTCGTAAAATTACGTTTTGAGATAAATGGGTCACACTTACATACGCTAATCACTTAACGAAGCACACTTTTCTCCCACATTGAATACACGTAAAGTAAAATAGAGGGCCTGGTGTCAAACCTGAGACCTTTGGTAGGGTCATTGAACTTTAAACCTAATAAAGATTATACAATTATACAATATATAAAGAATACTAATAAGGAGTGTTTTATCAGATATAAATGTCCCTGCTCATGCAGCGAACAAAGGGTTCATGTTATTGGCTCATCAATAACAATAAAAGATTTGACGTGTAATAGTATAAGAAAGAATACGAAGGTACAACAAATAAAATGTTATAATATGAATAGACTTAGATCGTTAATAAAGTAATAATATTTTTTTTTCCTAAATTTATAGACATGACTGTTTTGCAGTTTTCTGTACATCTGAAAACTACCGCTCATTTAATACATCGAAGACCGGTTTGGGCGGGAGCCGATCGTTAYGCTATAAGTTGTGCCTGCATTCACTGCATCAATATTTCTAGTAATGAATTATATGATATCGAACATTCGATGATTTATTTTCTAAAAATCTTAGTATATTAAGTGCTTTTACATAGTATATCGCGATAAGGCCGGAGTGGCGCCTGTCAGTTCATCATGATGCCTGTGTAGGTACTGTAATTAGATTAATTCTTACGCAAATTCCCATATGTCAAAAGTTATATTGTTGCAAATATATGYTTTTGCGTGAGTTGTTTTTGATAGAATTCAAAGCGTGGGTTTGACAATCACCAAACTGCGATCGTTCGTTATAGTTATTTTTGAATTTAAGGCTTTTTCACTCTTCCAGTGCAAGGTCTCATCTCATAGKCCATCTTGTATAAATCTGTTCTTTTATTTAACAAAATAATGCATATATTAACTTGTAGCATAATAATCTTATTCGACACAAGAAATTAATAGTCCATAATAGCTTCATAGATCACAGATTATCCAAAAAACTGCATCCATAACTCGATAATTTTCTCTTTTTTTCTTGATTCGTCGCGAATTTCGAGGTGACATCTTTCGCATCGTGTTTCTGGTAATTCCTCGTTTAGTGTTCCCATAATATTTTTCAATTTTCTCGAGCCATGACCCTTTCTATGCGAAGTTCGAGGTTTGTTGTAGTAGTTTAAGATATTTTCYTTTGAACAATGACACCATACTTCTGCTAAAGGTCTTTCAATCTCTTCCAGTTTCATTTCTTCAACTGCGCATYGCTTYTCCTCGTTGCTGAAAGTTTGARTTTCAATTTTTTTCGAGGCATTACAGTCGCGCTTTGCTTCTTCCCTGCTTGAAATMTTCCTCAGRGAATTAAACGCTTTCAATGGCGCTTCAAAGTTCTCCTCTTTATCCCTTAAAGCGGCATTTCTTTTCACAAYAATTGCCTTGTCTTTGTTGCTGAGCCACTGAAGACTTGCGCATCGAACAATTGGCAAGTTCTCTTCTTGTTCACTTCGGACATCGTTCAAACTCAAATACCTTGAATAGAAAAYTTTGGCTTTTGGCACATCACTTGAAGTTTGGAAATCTGAATGCATAATGAGAGAAAAATCCGCCCTCGATAGTCCACTTAATTGCAGTGAATGGCACGTCGCACGAGAGAGTATAGAACTTCTATTTTATACAGACTTGGCTACGATCGATTTGGAACTGCGTTTMACAGCCATGAGCAGATAGACTTGTCGAGTAACTAACCTGCCGTGCAAGCGCTACTTTTAGCTTAGATTTTACCTTTCTAGAGCTTTTAAAAAACATTTGAAGTGTTTATRGACGTCATAAGGTAATCGGAGTGACAGTCACGTGCCGTTGTTAATGGAGACGCTGCTTGTGGGCGTATTATTAACTCGTGCAAGTCGGTCTTTGAACCTTTAGCAGTTTTGAGGTGGTAGGGGTTCAATCATAAAATAGACTGAGGGCGTGTCATTCTTCATAGCTCGCTGAAAATRCATTTGAAAGTATTAATATTCTTGTGTGTTTTAGTCCATTGTTTGTAGATCTATATTCTTTATTTATTCATTTTTTGAACAAAATTTACTTCTACCAGACCGTGTGCTCATTCCATTTTACTGTATACTTGACCTTAATAAAAACTAATCTGAACATGATCAGCATGAATACAACATTACGTAACAAATGATTAAAATTGCAGTTTAAAGCCTTAAGTCATGATGGTTTTACATGCAGGTGATTCCAAATGATATATTTTGAAGAAAGTTTTGCTTTCTGGAGCTTTCGGCGCGCAATCTGTCTGAATTGAAGAAAAATCATATAGAGGATGTTACAGCGAGCGTATAGAATTCATTCTAAAGAAATGAAATTTCCACAAGAGCTTAGTTAGAAATGATGGACGTTCAAATAACCGGAGACATTTTTAAAGTACTTCATGGTTTCTGCGCAATTTGATCAATTCTTACAGTTATAAAAAACCTTATTAAAGTATAAAGGAGCACCCTAAAACTCAGAATAAAAGTAAAAAATAAAATCTACATCAGTAGAAAAAGATGGAGACATGGAAGTCAAACGAAAGAAAAGTGAATTAATACTTCATAAGATATAAAAACTGTTTTTAAACAGTGCGCAGTGACGGAAAAGGGAATGAAATTAATGAATGCAAACAGAAGAAAGAAAAAAATTCCGTAATTTCAAGAAAGAGATAGAAAGTTACAGCGTAAAAGAAGCTAGAAAAAAATGCAGATAGCTTGCACGGAAGTATAGAACAATCTTTTACAATGTAAATATAGCATTATTATCCGATTTTCTACATTTGAGCTTGGTATATCAAGATCAACAAACCATGATCTGGGGTTTATCAAATGTAAAAAGGACAAAATCCCGGAAGCTTTTTTTATCCTTTTAATCGTACGTGATATTTGGTGGTATTGCTTAGGCAGTTTCAGAATCAGATCAAGAGTTATTATGATCTTGTCTATTCAAAACAGTTTTTTTGGGGTAAAAAAATAAAAGTATGCACCTGTCATGAAATCTGACTCGTCCCCAGTTGACTTCTCATTGTGCGCGCGCGCGAGAGAGAGAGATGGCAGGGGACTAATTATCAGTCATGAAAAAGTTGCATTTTACATGGTCGTCTGCTTGAAAAGGCAACAAACCTGTTGTCAAATGAATCGAAAAATGTTGGTTGGTTTATACTATGAAGGAAGATTAATAAAGTTAGTTATGACAAACACTGGAGTACGCGTTGTTTGACAAAATATTATGATGTATAAAGCACACAAAAACACTAGCGGGGGCTATGGGAATACGTCATGAAAATAACAAAGTTAAACAACAACAACAAATAAATAGCAACAATGACAGTCTCAAATAACAAATACTGTAAGAATGGAAAGATTGAATTATAAAACGAGTATTGAACATCATAAACCAGTCAACAAACTGAATCAAAAATTCATGTAAACATGACTGTCTAATGGATTACATTAACAGCCTGAATAAGTCACGGATTTTTTGAGTGAACGAAGGCCGAGTTGTACTAAATGACTTKGTCTACGTAATTAAAAAGTGGAATTGCTTTGTTAGTTATAATAACATCTTCGAAAGAGCTTGAACGGTTAAAACCAACGTTAAACACATTTGTCCACTCGCACTATGACGTAACTAAGTAGTACTACTAAGCAGAGGCGTAGATTTTTGCCTCAAAACAAAGYGCGAAAAGCTTCATGGTATAGTTATTTTGGCGCCAAGCGATTAGTTTTCTTACTTGATATCGTTACAAAAGCTATGTATTGATCGCGATTTTTTTTATTCCGTCGTTTGTGTTACTGATAAAAGACTGTCAATACTGTGTCAAGGTGAATTTGKATGTTTTTAGCAGAGCTGTTGTATTTTATCAAAAAAGGAACAGGAAGAGGCTGAGATATGTGTCTATCATTGCGATATCATGGTGGCTAGCTATAACAGATAAATGTTATAATTGATTCTCCAGAATAAGGAAAGCTGATTAGTGATCGAGTAGATTGTGACTTTTCAAAGTCTTCCTGGACCATTACGATTATGTTATGTTGTCAAAAAAATATGCTTTTGGACTATTTGAATCTTTAATATTCTTCTTTGGAGTATCACTTTTTAATCTCGACTTCATTAAAAAACTCCCGACTATTGAATATTTAGCCTCAAGTGGCATCTTAATATTTCATTAGTGCTAAACTCATTCCTGTATGTCATGAATTAACTGTAAAAAGACTAAAAACAATAAAAATAATAATTCGGCAACTAGTATAAAACGTTAGCTGTTATAAAGTTTTATTTTACTCATTTATTTATTTATTTTCATTTATTCGTTATATTGTTTTTACGTTTAAATCTATTTTTCTTTGATTTTTTGACACCTCAGCTTTTTGATGACGTCTTATCAACGTCACATCGTGTTCAGCGTAAAGTATCGTATGTGGGAGGATGTCGTTGTTTTATCGCGACAGGCAGGTCGACTCCAAGTAAAAGCTTTTGCACTAGCACATGTTGTAGATCACGATTCTGCAAATTAACTGATATATTAAAAATTAATTTAGTCAGAAATTTTTTTGATATCTAGTCTTTAAAGAAACTGAGCAAGAACAACACCAAAAGAAAAACACCTAGTGAATTTTGACCCTTTATCTGCAAAGAACTATTTTTGACGTCGTATCTCACTTATGCTGAAGTCAATCAATGTAAGACTATGTACTTTCGTAATTTTATAAGATCTTTTAGGCTCATTATCATGGAATATCGTTCACTCATCCGATTTACGCCAATTGACTTCAGCTCATATAAGCTTAGGCGTTTGAGTGTGATTTCCTTTCAGTTTCAGCGGATGATTTAGAATTTCTCAGTCTTCAATTTCTCTGAAATTCCTTAGTCCTATGATCAGATATGTTTCTAAGAGCACATAGTTTTAAGTCCATACATAAATTTAAAAAGTTTGTACGAAAGAAAATATTCTTAGCAGGTCGAGAAGTGCATTTGTCTGGGAAGGGAAAKGTCGTGAGTTCGAGTCCCCTGAGAAACAATACTTAGATATTTCACCATAAAAATTTCTTTATTTCAAAAGTACAGAATTAATACTTGTATGCCAGCGATTGAAGCATCAATGATTTCAGCAAGAAATATAAAATGGTTTGGATAGAATAAAGKGAAGGACAGACGACGGGGYTCCTGTGTTTTGGTCAGCGCACTTACCCAATGCCACCCACATGTTAGTTTCGTAACATGGCGAAATGTTGTGAATGTTGAATGTTTTTAGCATTTTCTTCGTAAATACATCGCTAAAATGGGCAAAACTAAGACTAAAAAGCGTGGAAAACACCGAATGCAGCCTATGGGACAATTAGAGGACGGTAGTACAGCGGAAAATGGAAACTCCATGGATAATTTTGGAGGAAGAACCATACCCTTGTTGCAAAAAGTAATGTTTTTCTATTTGTCTTTKTGCATTTTGACGTTAGAATTATTGTCTTTTGGTTTTTAGAGGTGTTGAAATTTTGTAGCAAAAGTAGTGTAGCAAGTTATTGCACTTTGCTGTAGAAATCAGCTGTTTTTCCAGTTGAATAACTCTCCTTTTGCCCTTTTAGTAATTATATTCTTTAACTTACTTTTGTTTATTGTTTAAAGCTTTGTAGTCCAGCTCCTGAAGAGAAGGAGTGTGCATGTGCTGGTTTGGCTAATTTAGTTTTTGAACCTGGCGCTGTACCCGTTCTTATCAAGCAAGATGTTGTGAGGCGTCTTGGACCTTTGTTGATTGACAGCAATCGAAGTATACAGGAAGCAGCTGCCGGTGCTCTCAGGTGATATTAATAATTATCAAGTATTATTAATAGTTATCAGGTATTCTTAATACTTATAAGGATGATGGTGATCTAAAATAATAATGATGATGAGGATGTTAATTTTTTCCTTTCTGGATTTCAGTTGACAGTTGTTTTCTATAGGATATTGTTGGTGATTTTTCAACAAAAGATTTCTCTCATTTGTATATCTGTTATTTATACCACCAACATTCAGCCAATATTGATAATTATAAATGGTTAAATACAATATGTGCACGAAAGACGACAAAATACACTCAGCAAGATCTAATCAACTTTTGTTG